CCCCAAAACCCCAAAACCCCAAAACCCCAAAACCCCATTTTATTTTTCCTTAATTGAGTGTTTTAAATTCATATAATTTCTGAAATGAGCTAATACTCTTCATAATTAACTTGCTTGATTTCTTCTCTGTGACTTATCAGACTAGACAGAGACTTTCCTCCATCTGGGCTATTCGCTCTTGGTTCTAAGGGAACCTCTCTTTGGTTGTTGTCTTTCTTCTGAAGTAATGGGAAGACTTTCCCAAGTTTAGATTCTATATTCGAAATATAAATCAGAAAAGGAAATTCACTTAGTTTTATGGTGATTTAAGTACTTACTTTTGGAGTTACGGCCAAGTTTGCTGAGAAGTTTTTCTCCCATAAATTTCTGAAGGCCATTCTTCTTTTTATTACGAATGTTATTACATTTTATCTTGAATAAGTTTCTAGCGCCAACATCGTCTCTTGTGCGATGTTTATATCCTTTCTTATGGGAGATTTTGTCAAATTTGGATTGCTTATGTTCGAGACTTTTGAAAGCCTTGCCATACATTAAGATAGCCTGAAGCTTGTTCTTTCCTTCAAGCTTTTGAAGCTCGTCGTCTATCTCTTTGTCATCTTCATCATTTTGTTCTTTATTTTCAGCATTATTTCTGGTTTTGAGAGCAAGAAGGAACCTGTAAAGTTTAGGTTAGATATCAATTTGAAAATATGGTTGAAATTAGAAATTACTCTCTTCTAGCTTCGTTGGAGGTCATGGGGTTACTTCTGTCGTAATCATTGATAAAAGTAGTCATTCTACTTTCATATGTCATCTCGCCATCTTTTTCAATGCTATCAGTGAACAAGTTCAGGAGGAGTCTTACAGGAAGGACAATGTAGGCTATCATGAACCATAAGGCCCATTGTCCATGTTGATTTTCGTGATCTGAAAGTTCGTTCAAGAATAAGTAGTTGCTGAGAGCGTATAGGAACATTCCAAATGGGAGAACGTTTGCATAGAAGTTAGCCATAGCACTTCCAGCAGCTTCAGGTATGCTATATCTTCGTAGCAATAGATATTTTTCTACCCAATATTGGAGAAGCACTCCTGCTCCTGCAACCATGGGTAGTATTGGCATGATTGGAGTGTAGAAAGAAACTACTAGGAACAATAGGCAAGTGTTGGAATAAGCAGAAGCAATGTCCATGTTCGGGCCTAAAAAGAGTTGGTTTGCTTGTCTCTGGGTGAGTTTTGATTTTTCACCTTTCCTTTTCTCACGACACATTTTGATTCTTTTGATGAGATAACTGATATTGAATAAGTTGACTATGGGTGCAACGAAGGAGACTGATACAACGTTGTAGAAGATAGTTGTTGACAAACCTCCACTTTCAAACCACTCTTCTTTCTCAAGCCTTGTAAATATGGGCAAAAGAGCCACATTAACGAATGTCGCAATCGTTAATTTAAACGCAACTGAAAGATGATACTTAGTGTAAGTCATATGTTTTTCATAAGAAGAGAGCTTTCTAATCACGAACTTTAAGATAGAGTTTATGAAAATAGCTAGGATTGAAGTACCAAAACTCACTACTCTTACAGTCCATATTTCTCCTGATTTATTTGAATTACTAGCATTATCTTCTAAGTCTTCTTTCCATATATTAAGACTGAAATATATTCCAAAGACGAAGCAAAGTAATATTGCTGTAATTGAGTACGTTATGAGTGTCTTAACAAGTCTTTGGTAGTCCTTTACAGACAAGTTTTCCCAGTACACATCTACCGGGTCTGCTGCTCTTTCAATAATGATTCTTTTTCCATCCCAAAAACGTTTCTCAATTTTGACTTGTTTTCATTTGAATACCCGATAATACAAGAAAAATACTGCTCGGATGATATAGTGCATTTCAAATATTTTGGCTAATCTTGTTGCTTGTTGTTGCCTTTCCAGAGTGATGAACGCTTTACCAATGTAGAGGTCTTTGTCTGTGTCAACATCCATCTCATTTCTCAATTCTTCAAATTGCTTTTCAAGTTGCTCTACCTTGGCTGCAATTTCCTCAAAAGTGGGAAAGGTTTCTTTGATTCAAAAGTAGTCGTAATCAACTCGTGGAGGGTTGATATCGATTCCGTCCTTTTCTGCCTGTTCTTCAGTAATGTTTAGCTCATTTCATTTCTGCTCTCTGTAGTGAAGTACATAGTTCTGCATCTTTTGCCACTTGTCAAGCTCTCTCGAGAGCTTGACAGATTCTTTGATATCATAGCAGTAATTTATTTTAGAAACTTTGAGCTTTAATTCATCGTCATAATTTTCAAACCACTCCTTGACTTGCTCCTGAGACTTATCCAGAGGGAGGTTCATTGCATACACTGTGAAATCAGGAGGAGTTATATTCTTCTCATCTATCTTTTTGACTAAAATGTTTTGACGCCTTCTTAGGATATTTTCGAGGATAAGAATCACTAAAATTGCTCCAAAGTTTAAATATGCCTGGATTATGAGTTCATCGCCTTCATAGTTGGAGGGAACAGCCCCGTAATTCCCCAAGCTGAGTTTCATAAGATTGGAGGGTTCCTTCCCTTCAACCCATTGGCTTGCCTTTCCTTCGTTTGTGTTAAATACAAGAGCGGTTATGCTGAAGATCAGAATGATGGCTATGAATATCCCAAAAATAAATTTCTTGTATTCATAATATAGGGGAAATCCACATCCTAGATCCTCTAAGTTGAAAACATTCGTACAAAGGCTAAAAAGAGGGGCGGATTTTGACGTTGGCATCTGTCAGCAAGGGCAGAAATCTTCCTTTTTGTTAACAGACTTGGTATTTTTGAAGGTAACTTCATCTCTAATGTTTTTAACTCTATTGGCATCTCGATGCTTCTCTGCAAGCTCAAAGTCTGGTGGGATTTGATCAAGTATGTCTTCTATTAGATCGGGATCGTCAGAATCAATATCTTCGTCCCCAGGATGGTTTGTTTTACCAGATTGTTCCTTGTTTGAGCTATGAGATTCATTCTGCTTTTCATGCACATCTTCATTTAAAGCATCAAGTTCTTTCACCTTTAAATCTTCCTCCATTTGTTATAATAAAGTCTTTCTATTTCTTTTCTAGAGTGGGGTTTTGGGGTTTTGGGGTTTTGGGGTTTTGGGGTTTTGGGG